TTATGATACTTGCAATCTCCCGTTGCTGTAAAGGGCAGAATTGCCCGACCTCCGTTGGTAGATGGCTTCTTATGCGGATGCCTTGATACTGCTGAATATTCATTATCTTATATTAATTTTGGTGCCTAGCTGAGGAATCCAGGACGTGTGTTGCGTCTTATTTGGGACTTTTCAGCTGGATGTACCTGCACCCCGGTGACTGGTAATGTCCACGCTAATGTGACCAACCCAGTAGTTTAGTGGATAAAACTCTGGCGTTTGGGGCGATGGGTACTAGGTTCAAACCTCTGTAGAAACAACATCACTCCTCACACTGGGGTGCAGGTACATCCAGCTGTCGATTGCCAAATGGAAGGAAACGCTCGTTATGGATTCCTTTACTAGTCACCAACATCAATGTACTGGAATGTAGTGGCTTTTTTACCCCTAAATATTTCGTTTTGAGGGAAGTGTTAATAGGTATGTAGATATGAATAAGAAAATATCGCTTGAATCGTTAACTGAAGCTTTAAGTTGATGTACAACCAAAAGTGTCATCACTTAAAAGCTTCGTAAACAAACTTCTAATTGTCTCATTTCTCTTCTCATTATTATTTGTGCCTTAGGTTCCTAATGGAACATAGGACTTCAGTAGGACGTCTCCAATGCGTTGTGTTCTCTGAAATCTTTTGAACCTGGCTCCTCCACGAAGCTATTACTTAAATAAGCTTCAAGACATTCATGATTTGAATGATGGAGTGTATTACACTTGAACTTGGTGGTAGAAAGCGAATTTAGGTGGGGAGATTAGTTCCAATTTAGTCTGTTTATTGGGTGTTTTGCAACACAGTGAAACAGTATTACTTACTAGACGACTTATGTTTCGAGTATAATCTATTGTTGATATATATAACAGGTAACTAACTTCACAATTTGGAGATATGGTTTATATAGGTGTAATCATCTCTCCTTGTTTGTGACAAAGGTAGTAAGATTTGTCATATATCTAGAACAGGTGCTGAATGATTGCTGTTGTGTGTAGTGGGTGTTACTTCGATAGACAAAGATTCGGTTATCGGGTTGTCACTGTATCCCAACTACATTATATGATTGTGTGTAATTGAGTGGATGGCTATAGTTAAGGTTTTCTCAAAAATCGATTACCTTATTGGGAGTTACCAATTTTGACCTGGTTAAGCTTTTGTGCCTGGCTAGCCTAATTGATTCATGTCGACTACTTTCACATATGTATTTGGCCTCACAATCGTTTCGAAGGATTTGTAAAACTAAATTATTTTGTTGTGGTTTATTGAGAATACTACGTCATGTCTCTGAGGTGCCTTCCTTGTATTGTGTGAATACTGTAGACGTTTTGAATTCTCTCTACACAGTGATGAGATCTGTGTTATTGATATTTTTCTTACAATTGCCAAGGGACTTATTGATTAATTTAGGAGGGTGATTGTTGATGAGTAAGGTGTCCTTAATATATCTGATTTCTTGTGATTGACTAGTAAGTTTGTTTGCCGTGTTTCTTAGACACTTTACCGGGACAACTCTAACTGACTGGCATAGGTTGAGATGTTTTGATGTGGTAGTAAGCATTGAAATGTAGAGAGGTTTTCTGTAGACACTAATGCATCTAAACTCCCATCTTGTTCCCATTTTTATTCTGCAATCGAACATCGTTAATTCCCCTTCATTATTTCCTAATTCATAGGTGAATTGGATCACGTTGACTACTGCATTTGTATATGTGTGAAGAAATAATGTACGTGTTCCCATTTCAATAGTGTAAACGTTTGTCGTCTACATATCGAATGGATACTTTTGTAGCCCGACTAAGTGTTCTTGCAACCATTTGTTTCCATCTATCCATATATATATTTGTGCAATGATAGGGAATATTGGCGATCCCATAGCAACTGAGATATCTGAGATAGTCGTGTTTTGGTTGACTAATATTGATACTTGGGTGACGATTGAATATGAAGTGAAAATTTGAACCGCGAGTGGACTTATCCCAGCCTAGTGCTCTACCAACTGAGCTACAAGACTCGACTACTGACCAGATTTATCATTAGTTCACTTCAATCACCAAGGTTTGGTCGCTGGTTCGAATCTCCCCGCAGTTCAAATTTTCATTTCACCTTCAGATATCACTTAGTTTCATTTTTTCATTATCATTGAAGTGTATATCATCTAATCTATGCTTGAAGATAAAAGAGTTAGTAAGTCCCGTTTGACTGGTCTAAATCATTGTTTGTTTCAGTCATTAAAAAAGGCGCGAAGCCCTCTTGTGATATGCACAGAGTCAGCCTGACGAACGTAGTGTCCAAGATCCCAGGTTCTATAATTGTTCGATGCCTGAGTGGAGCTCGGGAACAGCGAGCCCGAGAAAACCGGACAGGCTTTAGACCCGGGCGCGAGTGTAACGACCAGTTATTCATACGGCGCCAAGTTTTGGGACACAGACACGCCCATAGACGCCTGGCATGAAGGCGGTATTCGACTCTGTTGATTGAGAAGTCCTATGACAATGTCCCTCAGTGAAAGGCGTGCCAAATAACTACATCTCCTTATCGAAAACTATCTATTCGAACACTCGTAGTACCATCGCCTAGTACTTAGTTGAGTCATAAGTAGGAATGTTTCTGAAGTCTAATAGGATAACTTGGCTTGGGAATTTCAGTGGTACTATAGATCGTGTTGGGGTTATTAGTTTTCAGCATTAAACTAAACCATTTTGACTACGTTAGAAACGCCTACATTCGAAGTATTAGATCCACTGTGGTTTTTCGACCTTATACATAATAATGTCGATTGGTTTCTCAACTTCCACGTATGATCATGTTTCTATCAACCTCATTCGACAACTATATGAAGATGCCGCACGCTAAGTAATTCACAATCGGAAACTCACTGAGGCCTTTGAAGTGAAGACAGGAGTAAAACAAGGCTGTTTATGATCACCTATGATATTCTTGATTGTAGTGCACAGGACTGGATCATGCAACAAACAGTGAGGAGCGAGGAGAGGGGGATACGCTGGACCGCGAAAAAGAACCTAGAGATTTAGATTTCCCCCACGATGACTTGTGACTGATGTCACACACACTTGAAGATCTACAAGCAAAATCCAACAAGTTGACAGAAGAGGCGAGGCAGCGAAGACAGGACTTCAAGTGAATGTAGAGAAGACGGAGGTGATGATACCGAACCAACACAACCACCACCGATGGGGAACCTAAAGGAAGTAGTCTCTTTCACCTATCTAGGCAAAGCAGCATCGTTTCAACTACAGGTGGCACAAGTACAGACGAGGATGTCAAAGCCAACCAGGATCGGAAACACAGCAAGACAGGCGTACATTAGCCTGAAACCACTGGGGAGATCTTCTGCACTCAGCATAAAGTGTGAACAACATCCGGATTTTCAACACCAATGCCAGTCAATGTTGTGCTTTTGTATGGTGGTTGAGAGACTTGGCGCGTCACGAAGAGCATTTCCAAAAAACTACAGGTAATTCATCAACAACTGCCTATACTGGCTCGTTACTGAAGCTCTGATGACCAGAATAATAAGAATAAGCAACAAGGAACTCTGGCTGGCTGGCAACGAACCAACGAGGCCAGAAGCTATCACCCATCAAATTTGCAGAAGGAAGTGTAGATGGATCGGGCATACACTGAGAAGGCCGACTGGGGATATCACGCGCCAGGCCCTCGAGTGGAACCCAGATGGGAAGCACCGAGTTGGGCGTCCGAGACGAGGTTGACATGGAAGAGATGGTGTGAGGAAGAAATGAGAGCTTGTGGGCTGTCGTGGAGCAAGGGTTAAGAAGATCACAGGGAACAGAGTGGAGTGGAGATGTGCTACAGAAGCCATATGTTCCACTAGGAACCTGTGGGACCAATAACAATAAGGTATTCCTAATGTGTCTAATTCATTGTCTCAATTTTTCCATCCTACCATTTAGGTGCTTTCCCTTACTGCTTAGATGTTCAATCAAATCTACGTTAACTGAGGGATGATAAAGGATAAACAGTGAATAATGTGAACAATAAATTGTTTCGGAAATGTTCAGTATGTAATACATTCTCATTGTATGATACATATCTAATAAACAGACTAGAATGCTTTTATTTGTTGCTACCTCTGTCGGCAGATGATCTCTTAATACTAATGCTTTCGATACAGTCTAAGTATTCATTATGTTGCTGTATGTTTGGTGGCTAGCAATGAAATCCAAGCGGGATACGCGTTATGGTGTAGGTAAATCCAGCTGACGAGTCTCCAGTGGGACGAAACGCAAGTGGTTGAATCTCTTGTATACAATAAAATTACAATCTGTACTCTAGTATCCAAGTCTTGCTTCTATGTATTTTAGGTAGAGGAAGGTAAGATGTATGATTATTATCCCAAGTTTTTAGCATGAGTAGTATAATGCTAAAATCCCCTTTGCTATTTATCTGATTTATGCCATAATCCTATTATCTGTGTTATGCGATAGCTTTAATCTTGAGATAGCACTGCGGTACATTACGTTTCAAGGTCACTTTGAGCATTACTCAAGCAGGTGTATTCTATGTATTTTTAAGCCAATCATCTTCTGACCACTTGAATATGACCTTATTTTCTATGAATTCAGTTTTATGACAAAAGTAATCACAAACTTGATCTTTTATTGATTTTCAATAGAAGAGATTATTGTAGTTTGATTGTGTGTGTGTGTGTGTGTGTGTGTGTGTGTACTCTTTTTTAATGCATTCTCAATTATCACTGATCGGTGTGTCATTTAGTCAATGTTTGAAGATGGTTTGTTGAAATCAGTTGTCCATCATTTCCCTTCGTATTTCAAAAATTTTTGCGCTACTAATACATTTTTAAATGTTACTATCACTTCTCTGATGGTCGTGTCGATGACGTGTTGATTTCGTCATCCCTACAACTCATCATTTGACTTGTAAATCTCGAATTTATATTACAACACAAATTTCCTGGTTATTTTTTTCTTTCAGACTTCACGTATTGATTCATCAACTCGACCAGCATCACCAGCACAACCGGGAATGCTCAACAAATCGGATAATAATGTTAAAAATAATAATAATAATAATAATAATAATACGACAGTTTCATTGAATGGAAAAGATAATTTCCAATTACCACCTCAACATCCATCAAAGATATCACGAGATATAAAAACATTAAATGATACCGAGTTAACTGCATTACGTAATGAACGTGATCAACTTTTGTTAACGATTGAAGAAATGAAGTAAGCCTATTTATATGTTTTGAGGGATATAATTAAGCATTTTGATGGCAATGTTCAATTGTCAATTTGTTTTAGATACTTCCTTGAAATGTGGAGGTCATTTTGATTTTAAACGAAGATTTTTGTGACCAGATTACTCGTATACACTCCTTGAGGGTTTTTTTTTTACAGCTGACTGATTTTTATTGGGTGATGATTGAAAGTGAAATGCAGATTTGGACCATGTTCGGATTCGAACCAGTGACACACTGTATTTCCCCCTCGATGCTTTATCAGCTGAGCTACGAGGTCTGACTACTGGCCAGAAAATATGGTGGTCGATGGTTCGAATCCGACTGTGGTGCGCATTTTCATTTCAACCACAATCATCACCCAGTGTCAATATTAGTCTGCCAAACCATGGTTACTTTCTCATGTAGTCAAAGTGAGTGATTTTCGTCTAATTACTTCATTCATAATTTTAGAAGATCTACGCAGAGTATGATTAAACGTCATGTCGGTCATTTGACTTCCTATCTATCTGCTTTCATCCTAGCTTGATGGCCACCTTGTAAAATGATTGATAGAATTCCATCAGTACACAGGACTAGACGAGAGGACCGATCAGTGTATCTAATCCAGTCCAACAGGAGGGTCAGTCGTGGTCCGAATAACTGAGTGTTAACGTGGCTGACTACGACACTGGGTTACGCGCGTTCGAATCTCAGGCGAGACATCAGTTCCGTCGGAGTTGCAAATACGCCTTGCTGACGAGTGCCAACAAACATGGAATCTAAATCCTTGGCTTCCCTCCCCCTGATTGCCACCATCCAACTAACATCTATCAAAGTATATCGCTGTGCTCGGTTAGGTATCTAGTCTGGTGGCCGGCCGCATTGCAAAGTGATGGATAGAATTCTACCAGCACAAAGGAAGGGATAACTTGAAGTTGATTAGCCTCCTGTGACTAATCAATGTATCCAAATCAGTCGTACAGAAGGTAAGTCGCGGTCCGAATAGCTCAGTGGTAACGTGGTTAACTGACTACAACACTGGTTTGTGCGCGTTCGAGTCTCAGGCGGGACATCAGTTCCATCGGGGTTACAGGTACGCCTTGTTGACGAGTGTCTTCAACCAACTTACATAGTGATATGGTATTTTTTACTGCATTGCCCTAATAAAATTAAGTGATTTTTAAAGTGGGGATGTCATCGATATTGTTTTCAACAGTTTTCTATCATCGTTGCTGAACGTATCTAGGTAACACAAAGCCTATGATTACTATTGTTCAATGGTAGATATAATTCAAACCGAGAATTTTGTAAAATCTCCATATTATAAACCTCGTATTAATGTACTGAGTCGAATTACTGAACCTCTCTTGGCAACTAGGCTCCTCTTCGAAGGCCTCGATACTGCTCGATTATTCCATATATAGTGTAGTGGTTTTAATGGCTAGCAGTGAATATCAGGCACGACTCATCAGTCAGATGAATAAAGCTTCACTCTAGTGAGTAATTTTATTTCCAGTGAGACTCAAACCCAGAATCTATTGCTTCAAACACCAAAGCGTTACTCATTAGGGGTATGATAGCCATCTATTGAGCAACGAGTATCAATTGTTGTAATGATACTTGTAATTCTTCGTTGCCACATAGAACCGAATTACTCGACCTCTGTTGGCAGATGGACTCCTATGCGGATGCCTCGATACTGCTGTATATCCATGATGTTATATTGATGTTTGTGACTACTATTTGTCACTCGTCAGTTGGATGTACCTGAACCCCCAGTGCGTAGTAATGTTGTTTCCACTGAAAGCTGAACACAGTAACCTTTGCTTCAAATGCTAAAGCTTTATCCAATAAGCCACCGAGGAGTGATAGCCACCTCTCGTGCAACGGATATTAGGTGTTGTGTTTGTTTATTTCATTACTTATTCTGTATGATTACTTCAGACCATCATACATTAGTCTTGTTTGCTAAGTTAGCTTTCAATCAGTAGGGTATAAGTTTATGAACCCCACTTCAATCGTCGAGTTTCAGGCAGACAGGTTGGATAATTAACTCTCAAACAATATATGTAATATAAGCTGTTTGTATAGTATATCAGAATCCGGTACCGCGGTTAACAATAGAGAGTGAAGTGGTTGAGTGTGTTGACCACTTCACTTACCTGGGAAGTAGGATCAACCCCGGTGGGTTAGTTGCCGATGAGATTTCTGCACGGATACAAAAGGCTCGATTGGCTTTTGCCAATTTGCGCCACCTATGGCGCCGCCGTGATATTCGTTTGTCTATTAAGGGTCGCGTGTAGTGCACAGCAGTCCGCTCTGTTCTACTGTATGGCTGTGAAACATGGCCATTAAAAGTGGAAGATATGAAAAAGCTTCATGTGTTTGACCACCGTTGCCTTCGTATTATAGGACGTATTCCGTGGTGTGACCACGTGAGTAATGCAGAAGTTAGGTGTAGAGTTTTAGGGAGAAGAGGTAAGTCAGTTGACGAGGTTGTGAACCTTCATCGACTGAAATGGTTGGGACACGTACTACGTATGCCTAGTCACCGATTGCCTCATCACACAGTGTTGGCTGATGTGGGTCCAGGCTGGAAAAAGGCCCGAGGTGGCCAGACTAAAACATGGCACCAATGTTTGAAGTCTCTGACTGTTGGTTTAAACCATGTAGGACGATGCAGACTAGGTGGTTGGGGTACACGGGACAAGAGGAACCAGTGGTTGGAGACTGACTCTAAGTGATATGGCTCAGAACCGAAGTCAGTGGCGCAGATGTATACAGACATTATCCTCATCTTAACAACGCTATACCGGATCTCACTATTTTGTCACTCCTCTTTCCTTTCTTCTCACACTTTATATTTCTTTTGACTGCATTAACTTATCTTCATCCTTCACCTCACTACCTTTTTACTTGATGTGCTGATATGAGGTGTGGCAAGTGGGACCGTGAGGCAGTAATGCCTGGTCCTATGTTGATAATGATGATGATGATGATATCAGAATCCATGTGGTCGTAATGAGAAAGTTTTGTTCCAAATGGTTAATATAGGTAAATTGCATATTCACTGGTCCCAAAATGAAGTTAGGGCATATTTCAATATTTTAGAATGAAATACAATTTTGTCATATTTTTATTATGTAACTTAACTAACTATCCATACTGTAGATAACTATACAATGCTCCGAGACGATATGATTAGCTAGCGATAGAGCAATCATCTTTCAACTCGATATTTCACTGATTAGAGAAAACAAAATAGCATATTCAACGTGTAAAATGAAGTAATCAACGTTTAGTGTATTCTAAACTGTTGTAAAAATAAGCAACAAAGCATGACGCAAAAAAGGGTGTAAAAATGATAAACAATGTTATAAAGTTAATTATTTTAGAGGTTGGCCATCCCTAACAGAATGACACCTGTCGTGGTGGTGGTGGTGGTTTGGTGTTCTCAGAGCTTTGATGTCCTAATCAGCAGAAAACACGATGTGGGACTGAAGGAATTCAAGTGTACACACACACACACACAGAGATCAGTTATTGAACTATGACAACAATCATCCTACAGTCCATAAAAAATGTTGCGGACATACACATTGTAGCAATGAAGCACTCCATCCAGACCAACCTAGGACCAGGCATTACTGCGTAACGATCCAACTTGCCACACCTCATATCAATACATCAAGTAAAAAGGTAGTGGGGCGCAAGACCAAGATAAGAAAATGCAGTCAAAGGAAATATAAAGTAAGAGAAAAGAGAAAGGGAGAATGACAAAATAGTGAGATTCGGTATAGTGTCGTTAAGATGCGGATAATGTGTGTCTGTGCATACATCTGCACCACTGACATCGGTTCTCAGCCACGTGATCACCTAGAGTCAGTCTCCAGCCACTGCTTCCTCTTGTCACACACACACACACACACACACCATCTAGTCTGCAGAGCCTCACATGGCTCAAACAAACAGTCAAACACTTCATACAGTGGTGACATGTTTTAGTGTGACCACCTCCAGCCCTTTTCCTAGCCTACACCTACTTCAACCAACATCCTGTGACGAAATAATCGGTGACTAGGCATACATACGTAACACATGTGGGCGCCAACTATCTCAGTCGATAAAGGTTCACAACCTCGTCAACTGATTCACCTCTACTCCACACCCTAAAACTCTACACCTGACGTCTGCATTACTCACGTGGTCACACCACACAATACGGTCCCCCATACACTACGAAGGCAAAGGTGGTCAAACACCTCAAGTCTTCTCATATCTTCCACCTTCAATGACCATGTTTAGTAGTCAGCCATACAGTAGAACACACCGGACTGCTGTGCACTACACGCGACACTTAATAGACAATCGCATATCACGGAGGCGCCACACGTCATGCATATTGCCAAAAGCCAACCGAGCCTTTTCTATTCGTGTAGAAATTTCATCGGCCACGGAGCCACCAGTGCAAGGCTGATCCTATTTCCCAGGTAGGTGAATTGCTTGACACACTCAACCACTTCACTCTCTATTGTTAGCCATGGTAACGCTGAAGACCAGTCCTGGAACAAAAATTTGCATTTCGGTGGTGACAACCGCATCCCAAACATTTTCAAACTGACACTGAAAGTGTTCAGAAGACTCTGAATCTTGTCAGCGTCTTAACCTAACAGGACTGTGTCATCTGCATATTCTAGGTCTAACGAAAATTCTCCTGTGATTAGGTCAACGTCTGTGTAACCTGTTGACAAGAGGGAGACCTCCATAAGAATATCTATGATGGAATTGACTAAGAATGGAGACAGTGGACATCTTTGAGGGACACAACTCGATGAGCATAGCTCCTTGGACATCTCACTATGGTCTCTAACATGCCCACAAGTGTCCGAGTAAAGAGCTTTCAATAACGTGATGTACTTACTCGGCACGCCTTTCACTGAGAGACATTGTCATAGGATTTCTCGATCAACGCAGTCAAATGCCGCTGCCTTCAGGTAGAGAAATACAGGCAGTGTCGGGCTTCTGTAAGCGTGCCTATGTTCCAGGACCTGGTGCAGTGTGAATATTTGGTCAATATACCCACGGCCAGTTCTAAAGCCTTCCACCTCAACATGCTTCAAGATGGATATCTTGGAGTTCTGTTGAGAAGCTGTGACCTGTGGGGTTAGCTAGTCAGAAGTGAAGCGAATACCAGCTGAAGATCCTGGATGGTAGTCGCGGTATATGGTGAATTGACAAGAGTAGAAAACTTTGAAGTATTGAACTTCGGCCCAGTGGCTGTGAAACCTGAACTTCCTTAGTTCGATCCCGTAGTCGGGTTATTGATGCGTACTGCTGAGGGAGTCTCATGCGAAGACGAAACAACTGTCGCCCAGTGATTCTAGGCCTTTAAAATGGTTCTCTAACTGATGTCAGCCCTTGTTGAATAACGTCTTATAATGATGATAATAATACGTGAAAGAAATGGGAATAAAATTAGAGCGAAGACATTTGGGGCAATTCAACATGAGAGTGATCAATGTTCAAGATATTCAGCTACTTTATTATTTAGTTAATCATATTAAGAGCATAGTAACAAAGGAGATTTATCAAATTGTTTTTTGTATGTATGGGTTAGGCTTCCAATTATGAATTCCCAAGACTTCTGCAATATATAGGAAATGGAGATACAGGCGTTTACGATGGTTTGATTGAACTTTGTAGATTATATCGAATGAGGTATTCGAAGTTGAATGTGTCTTGAGTCGATCACAGGTTGTGAAATAGATACGTTGACTCCTCTTCCTCACTTTTTTCTAAACCATATTGGGAGATGTTCTAGAATGCGGCAAAGGCTAGACCTAGACGAACAACCAATATACTTACCGTCACTGGAGCAGATGAATTGATAGACGCGCGGTGAATTAGAAACTTATCCTTCATAGTGGGGTATATTAGAAGATGACTGTGATATGTTATTTTGAGGCTTGCTGCATCAAAACACTTGGTGAATTGGTCTTTCCAGACTATTTTTCAGCAGTTTTCCAAGTTGCCTCACCTCATATCATCACATCAAGCAGCTGAAGCAATCGGATGCGAAGAATCAGTCAAAAGCAATAAAAGAGAGGAAGGAGGAATAAGAGAATATTGATGATTAAAATTGCAATAAAGTGTGGATACATCTGCACTTCTGAGATCCACTGTAAACCATATCACCTAGTGTTTCTAACCACTGGTTTCTGTAGTCGTGCCGATCACAACCGGAAAGTGTTCAATTCCCTACGCGGCTCAGACTAGCAGTGGGTAACTTCATACAGTGATCTTATATGTTAATCTGGCCGCCCTAAACGTTTTTCCAATCCGAACTTACTTCATCCATGATTGTGTGACGAGATAGACGGTGGCTAGGCGTGTGTAACACATGGCCCAGCCGCCTGTGACAATGTAGGAGTTCACAACCTCATCAAATAACTTTCCTCTCCTCTCTGTAACTACACTTGACTTCTGCACTACCGATGTGATGGCATCCCTATACACGGTCTGTGATATGAAAGTAACGGTGGTCAAACACTCCTACTTTTAATAGCTGTGGTTCACAGGTGTAAAGGGGAACAGAAGGAGCCGTAGCGTAGTGTCACTCAACCCATAACAGACAATCGAATATCGCGGTGGTACCATATATGGCGTAATTTGGTGAAAGGTAATCGAGCCTTTTGTATCTGTGCAGAGATTTTGTCCAGCACTAACCAATCCCCTAGGACTAATTCAACATCCTAGGTAAGTGAAGTGATCAACACACTCAACTACTTCACTCTGTATTGTTAGCCGGAACACTAATGAAGATCAGTCTCTAAACTATCACATAGAAGAACTGACTTGACTGGTATTATTGTTGAAAATCCGGATGTTGTTCACGTTTTATGCTGATTGCAGTGTAGTAGATCTCCACACTGGTTTCAGGTTAATGAAGGCCTGTATTGCTGTCTTTCCGGTCTTGGCTGGCTTTGACGTCCTCATCTGTGCCTGTGTTGCCTGTAGTTGAAAAGATGCTGTCTAGACAGGTAGGTGTAGGTGAAAGAGACTACTTTCTTTAAGTTTCTCGTGTTGATAGTGATTGGAGCTTGTTGTTGTTGTTGGTGGCGTTGGTTGGGTATCTTCATCACCTCTGTCTTCTCTACATTCAATTAAAGTCTCATCTTCGCTGTCAACTTGTCAGTTTGATATAATAGATAATCTATATTACTGTTCTATACTTCTTCTATTGTTTTTCTCTTACAGACATTGTATCACAGAATATGATCGTAGTTTACAGCATATGATTGAAGAGAAAGCAATCAGTCAAAATCAAATGAATGTACCAGTCTCTGATTTAATTAAAGAACGTGATGAAGCTGTTGAAGAATTGGCTACAATTGAAAAAGCTTTCGGTGATTTACATCGACGTTTTGAAAAGTCAAAACAGATTATTGAAGGATTTAAACAAGTATGTGTGTGTGTGTGTGTATGTGCCGTTTTCTGTCTATTAACAGTAAAACGTTTAGAATCCATACAGATTTCAACTGTCTAATGAATATAGATTTACAATTATAGGAGTACTTTTATTTCATTATCGCTCTGTCTACTTACGAAGGTATTTGTGGAACTAGGCAGATTACATTAGATCCTCTTTGTATCGTAATGATGGATATCCTGCTGAAGCGACCCTCATGTGGTTCCTGGATTGCATTATTATCATTATCATTATTATTATTATTATTATTATTATTATTATTATTATTATTATTATTATTATTATTATTATTATTATTATTACCATTGTTACCATTATTGTTGTTATTATTGTGGTCATTATCACCATTACTGTTATCATTATTATTATAGTTAGCATTATTACCACTATTATTATGAGAAGTCGTGACCGGTGGGGGCCAAATCTGTTGGTCGTGAGGACAGTTACTTAACGATGACATTGGATAGCGGTTACACTATATCATGAGCTAACAGAAGTTGGAAATATGGACGATTGGATTGTGACCCAGCTCAATGGTGACGTGCTGGCCACGGAACCTGAAGGTTGCAGTTTCGGTCCTTGGCGGGTTCGTGTGTGCGCACTGCTAAAGAGTCCCATTGGGTGGGACGAAACAGCTGTCCAGTGCTCCCAGATTTCCTTCGTTCCTCCAACTGATGTCAGTCTACAATAGAAAACCACTTGAAATATATCCAAATCCCCACAACTCACTCAAAATTCAATTGAACTGGTGCTCATTGGTGACTGACTAGCTCCGAGAGGTGATTTCTGAAACTCCAATGAGAAGTCGTGACCGGTGGAGGCAAAGCCTGATGGTTGTGAGGACAGTTACTCAACTATTATTATGCTTAATACTATTGTTCTTATCACTACGAACAAACTGCAGGTATACGTGAACAGCTACCTACGTTCACTCGATACTGAAGATTAGATGGCTAGAAAGAGTAAGCAGCAAGGAACTCACTCTGACAACCAACCAACCAACCGAGAAGTTATCGTCCAACAAATATGCAGAAGGAAGTCCAGATGGATTGGGCACACACTGAGAAGATCGTTTATGGACATCACGTGCCAGGCTAGGTCATCGAGTGGAACCCAAATGGGAAAGGAGGAGTTGGGCGTCTGAGGCTAGGGTGACATGGAGGAGAGATGGTGTGAGGAAGAAATGAATGCTTCTGGGCATTCGTGGGACCAGGTTAAAAAGACTGGAGAGAAGAGAGTGCAATGGTGACGTGCTACTAAAGTCCTATGTTCCACTGAGAAACCAGATTATAAATAATAACAATAATTATTATATGTATATATAGATTCTGAATGTAACTGATTCGCAAATTCAACGTAGAACCCTCTATACTTCTTAATAGTATACCAAGAACAGAGGGACAGAAGAGGACTGTTATCAAAGTAGACAAAGTTGTATGAGAGAATAACCAATCCGAAGATAACGAATCTCAACAAGGCAGTCTACATCTCCTCACACAACTCAAATCAGCAGTAAAAGACTTCGTCGACTAGTGCCATATCTTGTTTTCACCACTCTGAACCCTCTCCTAACTTAATCCAGCCTCCCCTAGCATGGTACATCAAAGTAGGTCCTTGCTCACCATACTACTCACTATATGTATAAGACCTGAATGTTACTGCAGTATATTAAGTGAAGATTACCTGATTCGCGGTTTGATTTCTATGATTACCTAGTTATATATCACTGTCAAGTTCAGTGTTGCGACGGTTAGACTTAATTCATATGATCTTTACTGAGGTAACTAAATTTCTCTCCTCAGTCAATCAGCATTTTACTGTATAATGACCTGCGTTGTCATATCTTATACATCAGCACATCAAGTGAGAAGTTGCTTTGATGACAATAAACAAATTTATTGGGTACTTTAGTAGATTATAATTTTATTTTATTCTGTCTATTAGAAATGTAACACAGGGAAACTGTATCATTTATTGAACAATGTTTCGGATAAAATTTATTGTCCATATTCATATCAGGTAACTTCATAACCTTGAGACACAGTTTATGTGTTATTCTATTTCTCTCTCCTTCTTTGGGATCAGGTTAGTTAACTTTTCCATATATCCGGAATATGTGCTGATTCATTCCTGTTACATATGTTTAGTGTTGATTGGCTAAACGCAGATTCGATTATCAATGTCCCCCTCCCTTCATCCATCTAAGTTTTTAACGCTGTCCCGGTATCCCACCATACTATGTGATTGTGTTCAATGGCATGCATAGCTCTATAGCGAGAGGTAGAACTAAACCCTAATATGTTACTAGCCATCGAAATGTCTGCATAGATGAAAACGGCTCGGTTGGATTTTGCTAAGTTGGGTCATCTGTGTTGCTACCGAAATATCTGACTGTTTATTAAGGGTCGAGTGTACTGTGTTGTAGTCCGCTTTGTTCTAGCGTAGATAACATGAGAAGGCTTCAAGCATTTAAACATCGTTGTCTTCGTAGCACACGCCATGTTTCATGGTTTCACCACGTGAGTAACGCATAAGTCAGGTGTAGAGTGTTAGCGAGGAGACGTCAGTCAGTTGATGCGATTATAAACTTTGGTACATGTGTCTAAGCACCATCTGCCTCGTCGTACAATGTTGGTCGAAGTAGTTTCAGGCTGGAAAATAGCTGGGGGCAGCCAGATTGAAACATAGCATCAAAGCAGACTAGCCGGTTGGGGTTCACGGGACAAGAGAAACTAATGGTTAGAGACTCTGAGTGATGATATGTCTAAGAACCAATATCAGTCACTTAGATTTGTACACACATTATCCTCATCATGACCGCTATACTTATTCTCATTATTTTCTCATTCCTCCTTCTTATCTTTTACTACTTTCTACTTCTACCTCTTTGACCTATTGTCCTCTGTTTCTTCATCTTTCATTTTATTGCCTTTTTACTTGAAGTTACAAAACTTTTTATCCAAACTTATTAACAACTATCAAATAGTAACACAATCAAGGAGAATGTATAAATCTACAGTTGTACAATTAAATCAAAGAGGATAGAGTTTCGTCTGTGAAATACTTATTCATCTTTCTTGTCCTGATGAGATGGATATCTTCCGCACGCATAACAATCACCTCATTTGTATTGATTAGTCAGGGGAATGCAACCAATTTCATGTCGTCTAGTACTGAGTGCAGACCGGACCCCATCGATCATATTTGCAATGTGGCAACCAAGCTAGGAAGCTCACCATTGCGGTGCACATTAGCAGATGTTAGATGGTTGGAGGCAATTGACAGGAAGCCCTGGAACAAGATTTCGTGCTTGTTGGCACTCGTCAGCAAGACGTATCTGCAACTTCAATGGAAGTGATGTCCTGTCTGAGATTCGAATCCGCGTCAGCCAGTGTTGTAATCAGCGACTTTACCACTAAGCTATTCGGGCCGCGACTGACCTCCTATAGGAGTGGCTTACATGTATTGATTGGTCATGGAGTGCAACCGATTTCATATCGTCTAGTCCTGAGTGCAGACTGGACCCCATCGATCATATTTGCAATGTGGCAACCAAGCTAGGAAGCTAACGAGTGGCAAAAAGCACGAAACCTAGTTCCAGTGTTTCCTGCCGATTGCCTCCAACCAACTAACAATAACGTCACTTCATGGATCGATCACTATCATATTGTATTTCTTCTTTTGTTTTTGACCTGCAAATTCATTATATTTGTTATATTCATAACGGATATGAGGAAATTTGTTCGATAACTTGAAAGTTGTCAATTCAATATACAGTTTTACACAAAGGTGTATTGTCTTGACGAGATTTTGTCTATTTCAATTGCAATTTATTATTATTATTATTATTATTATTATTATTATTATTATTATTATTATTAGTCCCTTGGGTTCCTAGTGGAACATAGGGCCTCAGTAGCACGCCTCCAGTGACCTCTGTTCTCTGAGATCTTTTCAACCTGGCTCCACCAATGCCCAGAAGCTCATTTCCTCCTCGCACGACATCCTCCATGTCACCCTCACCTAGGACGTCCAACTCGTCGCTTCCCATGGGGATTCCACTCGAGCAACTGGCCTGACGCGTGATGTCCTCAGTCGGCCTTCTCAGTGCATGCCCAATCCATCTCCACTTCCTTCCAGTGCATATTTGTTCAGCGATAGGTTCTTACTTCGTTGGTTCGTTCCCAGAGCTCCTTGTTGCTTATTCATTCTGGCCATCTGAACTTCAGTAACGAGTCAGAGTAAGCAGTCGTTGATGAATGTCTGTAGTTTATTGGAAATCCCTTTCGTAACGCGCCAAGTCTCTGAGCCATACAGAAGCAATGACTTGACTGGGTTGGTGTTGAAAATCCGTATCTTGTGCCATATGCTGAGTGTAGTGCAGATCTGCACACTGGTTTCAGGCTAATGAACGCCTGTCTTGCAATACTACTTACTAACTGATAAGTAGTTCAATTCGTTTTTAGAAATTAATTATCCTATCAATATCATACTAGGTAATGAATAGTTCACTTAAGCGTAATTTGTCTTGCGTTAAAAGGTTAACTTTTTAAAGGTTCATCCAGTAAGTTGTTGTAGTCTATCACTTTTTGTTTCTATAGAATTTTTAGTGTTTTAAATAATGATTGTAAGTGAAATAAAATCTGTTTTGCGTTAGAAGGATTATTTTTACTATATTATTATAAGTAAAGTTATTCACTCTACAATATATCAGCTTGTCTTGATATATTTGCCTCTGAATAATCAATCATTGGTCTTTTTCTCTTCACATAAAATTCTTTATAGGTTGTTCATTATAACCTTTTATTTCAAGCCTTATTATTTATTTATTTCTTATCAAAATTTATCAGAATGAAGATGCTTTGAAACGAAGTATTGAAGAGTATAAAAGTCTATTACAACGTCAAGAAAGAAAATATTTAGCCTTAAAAAGCATGCTGAAGATCAATTGCTAAAGTAAGTGTTTATAGTATTATTTATTATTTGTCCATTGAGTTCCTAGTGGAACATAGGGATTCAGTAGCATATCTCCATTCCACCCTCTTCTCTCCCTAATCTTTTCAACCTCGCTCTACGACAGCCCAGAAGCTTTCATCTCTTCCTCGGACCATCTCTTCCATGTCACCCTCAGCTGAGACAGCCAACTCGTCGCTTCCCATCTGGGTTCCACTCAAGCAGCGTGCTTGAACTCTGGGCTACCGTTATCTATCATCGAGTATATTGCATCAAATTTCTTATTTCTACATGGTTTTAATCGTTTAATTATGTCAACCAATCGTATTGTATATTCTCGCGCGTTTTTAAAATCATTACAACCTATCGCTTCGCAAGTTGATAGGAAATTTAAGAAGAAGCACCACGGTGGATGGCAACGAGCTCTGAAGCGTATGACCATAGATCAAATGACTATTCCGGAAATACTTAGCACAAACTGCAGGTCGTTGCCGAATAAAGTTGATTACCTTCAGTCACTCTTGTCCACAAATGTTTATCGAAACACGGGTGTAATAATGCTGCAGGAAACATGGCTTCATAATCTGTATGATGATGACTTAGTCTGCTTAGATGGTTTCAAATTATTTCGACAAGATCGAAGCTTTTCGAAGAAGAAATGTGGTGGTGGTGTAGCAACATTTATTAGTACTAACTGGTCGTCCTCCAACTATGTATGCTTCTGCTTCTCTAACGAAAAAATTGAGTGCATTACCATCAAATGTCGTCCCAAACATTTGAGCAAATACAAATACATATATATCACAAACATGTATGTCACACCTGACTGCAGTTTCTCAGATTTGTCAACTTTTGCTGATAAATTCACTGAATTTGCTGCTCCGGTTCTGGGAAACTCCTTGTCTATTGTCTGTGGTGATTTTAACTCATGTGACTACAGTTTTCTATTATCATTGGGTCATAAAAATATGGTTAACTTTTCCACTCGTCTTGACAACACCTTAGACTTTGCATTTACAAATGAACCTGGCATATATGAAGCCCGTAAACGGGCTCCACTGCTAATTCCGACCACTGTATCGTTCGTGTTTTGCCTAAAGTGTACGGAAAATTATACAAGAAAGCTTTTGCATACCTTTCAAGGAAAGTTCAATATAGATGCTATTCACAAGAAAATATATTACGTTTGAGAAGCATGCTTATAGAAACGGACTGGGATATATTTGCTGATGAAGTTTTAGACAACACTATTACCAATATCACAAGCTATCTCAGATTCTGTCTCGATATCTGCTGCCCTACTGAAACAATTTACATGAGATTTGACAGACTTTCCTCTCCTCATCTCAAGAGGCTTCGGAGAGAAAAGGAAAGGTTGTATAAGGCGAGAGATCACCCTGGCGTTAAAAGGCTTAACTGCCTAATTAAGTCTGAAATACAACGTCTGAATACTATATACAACAAGAAGTTCTTATCGTGTAAGAACTCTTCCAATATATGGAAATTATTTAAAGAGCTTACTGGTAAAAAACAGATGACAACACAAACTCGTTCGGATGTCTGCGTGTTAAACAAGTCATTTATACGTCGGCAAGCTAATTTCACCCTTCCTAATGTGCAAAATCAAGTGGATAGCTGCTTTCCAGGTTTCAATACAAATGATGTATTTAAATGTCTAAAGTCTTTGAATCCCTCCCAAAGCTTAGGTCCTGATGGTGTTTCTAGTATCATATTTAGAAAATGTGCAGATATTTTGTGTCATCCACTTACAGATATCTTCAATGTATCGTTCTCTAAAAACATAATACCCACTGCTTGGAAGCAGATAAAAATTGTACCTGTGCCTAAGCCATCTTCTGGATCAGATGTTACTTTTCGACCCATCGCTATAACTTCCCCTTTTCTGAAGACAATGGAGAAATTACTTCTGCTTGTGATTGAGCCTTCATTGATGGCCTTCAGAGATCCAAAACAGTTTGCTTACAAACACCGGAGGAGTACTTTAGATGCAGCTACTGTCTTGCATCATAATATTGTTTCTAGTCTCGACAAAGGTGTTAAGTATGTCCGTTGTGCCTTTTTGGATTACTCATCAGCCTTTGACTCTGTTCCTAGACCACTTTTGTTAAATAAGCTTGCCATAGCTCACACTGATCCATGGGTTACAAAATGGCTGCATTCTTATTTTTCTGAAAGGAAACAGTACACTATTCATAAAGGGATGCGCTCCACTTCATTGCTTACTGAAGCTGGTGTGCCTCAAGGTGCTGTACTTTCTCCTTTTCTGTTTTCCTTTTTTTGCACGATTTGCCTTATTCTGTTGAAACTAATTTTATCAAGTATGCTGACGACCTGACGATTTCTATTCCAGTAAACTCTTCTTTGGATTGCTCGAAATTAAATGAATTCTTGTCTGAAGTTGGTAAATGGTCTCTCTCAAATGGTCTCAAACTAAACCCCTCTAAATGTCAGACGGTTAATTTTAGCCTCAGGCGTAAACAAGACTTATGTGAGCTGCTTAAATCTCATGACGCCTGCTGCATCAATGGTATTTCTGCAGAAAGTAAATCGAGTGTGAACTATCTTGGGTTGCGTTTTACTTCTGACCTTTGTTGGTCGTCCCATATTTTATTGACTTGTAAAAAAATCTTTCGTTTAACTTATTACGTAAAGAAATTGAGGCTTTCTGGTATAACTCAACTGCTTCTTTTACAATTTATTAATTCCTGCATTTTACCTATTCTTCTCTGTTGTTCCCCATTAATCTTTCCTGGTCTTCTTAAAAAGGACTATGTTATGTTGCGTAGGGCTTTGAAGACCGTCAGCAGGGTGAGTGGTGTGTCTCTGGCTCAACTGATTAACACTGTAGTTGATCGACATATAAATTCCTGCAAGCTACTAGCTACAGAAATTTTAACTGACAGTGAGCATCCACTTCATTTACAGCTCTCTCCATGTATCTCCTCAGGGAGGACAAGGAGAAACTACATAAGACTGTATGCTCGTACAGCTAAGAATCCGACTGTACCTTACCTTGCACGCATATTTTGTGAGGAAAAAGTTGTCAGAAGAGAAATCATACATCAACTTTGTGACAGTTGAAAATCTCATTTCAATCATTTAACTTACAATGCAAAATTTTCTCGCTTTAAATATTCTTCACCTGGCGCATAGTGTCTCCGAATGGTCTTCTCAGTCTATGCCCAATCCATCTACACTTCCTTCCAGTGCATATTTGTTCAGCGATAGGTTCTTACTTCGTTGGTTCGTTGCCAGCCAGCCAGAGTTCCTTGATGCTTATACTTATTCTTGTGGTCATCTGATCTTCAGTAACGAGCCAGCATAATCAGTTGTTTATGAATGTCTGTGGTTTGTTGGAAATCCCTTTCGTAACGCACCAAGTCTCTGAACCATCACATACAAGCACTGACTTGACTGGCATTAGTGTTGAAAATCCATATCTTGTTCCACATACTGAGTGCAGATCTCCACACTAGTTTCAGGTTAGTAAAAACTTGTCTTGCTTTTCCGATCCTGATTGGTTCTGGCGTCCTCGTCTGTGCCTGTGCAGCCTGTAGTTGAAACGATGCTGCCTAGATAGATAAAACAAACTACTTCCTTTATGTTTCTCGTGTTGATGGAGACTGCGGCTTGTTGTTGTTGTTGCTGTTGTTGTTTTTGTCTTCGCTACGTTCACTTGAAGTCCAGTCTTCGCTGCCTCGCCTCTTCTGACAACTTCTTAGTTTTCACCTATACATCATCAAGTTTGTGTGACATCAGACACAAGTCATCGTTGGCGAAATCCAAGTCTTCTTGGATCTTTTCCCGGTCCAGCGTATCCCCCTTTTCTCCCTGCTCCCCACTGTTTGTTGCATGATCCAGTCCAGTCGACCACAATCAGGAATATCATGGGTGATAGTAGTTGGCAGCCTTGTCTTACTCCTGTCTTCATTTCACTGCAAAGGCATCACTGAACTTCCCATTGTGAATCACTCGGCATATGGCGTCTTCATATTGTTGTTGAATGAGATTGATAAAGGTTTGTGACACTAAAACCGTAGTGATGGAGCAGTCGTCAAATTACCTCTTGGTCGACGCTGTCAAAGGCCTTCTCAAAGTCGATGAAGTTGAGGTAAAGAGTGAGTTGACTGCCATTCTATACTCTGTTCTATGATGATGTGCAGAGTAGGGTTGCAATTTGGTCCGCACATGATTTTTACTTCCTGAATCCAGCCAGCCAGCATGTTCCGGTCGTAGTTTTGAATCCAGCATATAGTATAATTCATCAACTCATCAACTCATGATAACTTGGATAGCGTGAATGGCAGATGAAGTCTATCTGAACAAGGTGTGTAGATATATTTACGCAATACACATTTTGAACAATCTGATCCACCACACATTTACTTGTCTCAAGTCAATATACATTAAACCGAGGACTGGGGGGGAGGGGGGGAGACAAATACTACAGTTAACACAATAGTTGATCCTAATCTTTGTAAGAAAACAAACTTCATCAAATGTCAGAATACATCCCTAACTGTTTCGATATAAAACTTTGAAAACTGTTTGAACACTAACTTTATGACCTGTTTCTATGATATGTGTTTAGCTATAGATGAAGAGGGTCGTCTCCTATCAGCGTTTATCACTAACCCTAACCTATTATGGTAGTTTTCTGCTGGAAGAGTATTAGACTACCAACAGTCTAAATGTATTATGAAGGAGTTGTGGGGATTTGGAAATATTTCAAGTTGTTATTCATCGTAGACTGACATCAGTTAGAGGAACGAAGGAAATATGGGAGCGTTGGACATCTGTTTCGTCCAAGTATGGGACTCCTCAGCAGTGCGCACCCACGACCCCACTCCGTCAGGAATCGAATCTGCAAGCTTCAGATTCCGTGGCCAGCACGTTACCATTGAGCTAGCCACTAGATCACAATCCAATGGTCAATATTTCCAACTTCTGTTAGCTCATGATATAGCGTCACCGCCATCCAATGTCATCGTTGAGTAACTGTCCTCATGACCATCAGGCTTGACTCCACCGGTCACGACTTCTCATTGAAACTTCGGAATCACCTCTCGAAGCTAGTCAGCCACCAATGAGCACCAGTTCAATTGAATTTTGAGGGAGTTGTAGAGATTTGGATATATTTCAAGTTGTTATTCATCGTACACTGACATCATATTAACAAAAGTGTTTACTAAGATTTTATACGAGAGGATCCATTTCAGTTTTTAAACTAATACTTAGATGTGTAATTGAAATAAGACAAGGTTTTCATCAACAAAATCGTGAGATGATTGAGGAAAACGCGATGCTAGTTAGAAATATTCCCACTTATTATTATGGTCATGAGGACAGTTACGTAACGATGACATTGGATGGCGGTTGCGCTATCTCATGAGCTAACAGAAGTTGGAAATATTGACCATTGGATTGTGACCCAGTGGCTAGCTCAATGGTAACGTGCTGGCTACGGAACCTGAAGGTCATGGTTTCGATCCGTTGAGGGAGGTTTCGTGGGTGCGAACTACTGAGGAGTCCCATTGAGTGGGATGAAACAACTGTCCTTTGTTCCTCCAACTGATGTTAGTGTACGATGAAAAAGTGCCTGAAATAATATTTGTCCCTTTGTGTTCCTAGTGGAACATAGAAAGGTGTTCACAGCCTACATTGTGTTACCTTATAAGGAAGGTAAATCAGAAATTTTACGTAGGAATCTCAACAACACTGGAATTACCGTGGCATTTAAACCTACAAACTCACTCAGAGATAAGCTTTGTCGTCTAGTTTAAAGATCCGATAGAACCAATCAGACTAAATAATCTAATCTATCGAATTCCATGCAATGACTGCGAGATCAAACTAGCCGATCGGTGTCAGGTAGAATAGCGGAAAGTAGGAATTTAGCTAAATATAGAATGACAGAGCTTAATAAGATCAATTATGTAGAAAAGAACTTTTGCTTATTAGAATGCATGTGTTACCACCCAACCACACAATGCAGTGGGTGGGATAAATCATTGTACTAAATTTCAATGTAATTAGGTGGGGGGAGAGAGTGGGATTGATTATAGAATCTTTGTTCATCAATTCAACACATGTAATACTCATGTAATAGGAGTGACATCACACGCATATCAGAAATATGGAAATAGTTACTACCAAGTAAAATAAGTATTATGAGATGATAAGGCTATAATAATCAGATATCGGAAGTAGTGTGACCAAATGGATTTGAATTTCGATAGCGTAATTACAAGAAGAAGTTTAAACTGAACAATGTGTATTTGATGCATTTACGCAAATAGGACAAAGAGTGACATAGTTGCTTCTAAGCAAGCAAGTTAGGTGTAGTGTACACGAACAAATTGTATGACTATGGCTTCCGCAAATCTCAGAATACATCCCTGACTGTTTGGACATTAACTTTACGACCTGTTTCTATGATATGTTTAGCTATAGATGAAGAGGATCGTCTCCCACCAGCCTTTATCACTGTTTTTGAAGCTATTTAGGTACATGTTTTCCCACCGTCAACTGCATGACTACTCAATTACTCCTGCCTATGTGTATGTATGACCACACACATATGTAAATTGGTAAACACAACGGGATGTGAAGTAATAATCATGGGTGAAGGTTTAGGTTTTTGGTGTAGCATGTATTTTGTTTTCTCCACAATGATAAGATTCACCGCATAATATGTTTTCTTAATGACTGATGTCAGCCTACGTCTCAAAATGATACTATTCAACTCCTTTCTGTATTGTAGAATGATATGGACGCTTTTCATAGGGACCATTTATAGAGTTGGCTTTGGTGCTACTTGACCACCCTAACAACGATCGAAATAACCAATCAGATTTCTCTATTTTATGAAAATCTTCTTTTCCAGTCGAAATGGAGAAATCTAATTGGTTATTTCTAAATATTTGACGGCATCAGATATACATGCGAATTTCTCATATCTTGTTACCTTAAAATGTATTTCTATGTGTAAGTCCTTTACTACTGCTCTGTGTTCAGAGACCAAATAAGATCAAGTGGAATTTATGAATTGTTTTAAAACGACTTGGTAACACGTATCCGGTTATAAGATATATTTTGAAATGCTCCATTGTTGATGTAATATTAGAAGTTAGACGTCCAAATATACAATGATTTTGAATTACATCTAGACTATCTGTAGACCGTATTGTTCACTATGCGAAAAAGTGTAATAGTGGCTTAAAAACATTCTATTCTATTCTATTCTGGGGATACTGAACACCTTTTTCGTCCTAGTATGGGACTCCTCATCAGTATGCACCCGATGAACCCACTGAAGATTGAATTCACGGCCTTCAGGTTCCACAGCCAGCTCGTTACTGGCTTGGAATGTAACGGTCGATATTTCTAATTTCTGTTAGTTGTCGATGGTGATGGTCAATGTATGTCATGAATTTACAGAAGTTAAAAATTTTGACCATTGTGTTTCAGCTCAGTGGCTCAATGCTAACGTTGGTAGCCATGGAACTTTAAGGCCCTGGGTTCTATTCCTGGTGAGGTGGGACACGGTCATGGATGCACACTGTTAAGAAGTCTCTTATTAGAATGAAACAGCTCTCCAGTGCTCCTAGGTTTGTTACCAGGGTTCCTCTTAAGTGATGTCAGCTAAGTAGCCTTTGTAATGACTGAAATTCAATTATTTCTATCTGAACGCAGGAAACAATTCCATGGAACCAAACTAGTGGGATCAAGGTCAAGTTCTTGCGTTCTACTGTATAGTTGTTGAACTTTCGTGTGTCATTCACAGTAAAAAAAATTAGTTTAACAATATGAAAACATAATTTGTAGTAAATCTATGATACTTAACAGTGCGATTGGGTAGGAATACGTACTGAGAATCAATAAAAAGGGAATCAAAACTCTGTCTACAAGAATCACACCATTGAATAAACATTTCTGGTAGACAGTAGTCTAAGATAGCAGCCATAGTTTGGTAGACTAGTATTTATACTGGGTGTTGGTTGATGCTGGAGTGAAAATCTAGACCGCGCCCGGGTTCGAACCAGATACCACCAGGTTACCAGCCCGGTGCTCTAACAACTCACCTTCGAGGTCCGACTGCTGACCACAAGTTTATTTCACTTCAATCACAGGTGGGGTTTTCTCGACTACCAAGTGAATTCGTGACGCTTTACTACCACTTGATCGTATTCACCCTGGCTGCCCACCAATCACGACTTCTCATTCGAGTCCAAACCTCACTGAATCAAAGAGGGGGAAGCATCATATTGATTATGATTTGACTATCTAAGATAGCAGCCGTAGTTAAGTGGACTAGTATTTGTACTGGGTGATGATTGAAGGTGAGATGAAATCTGGACCGTGACCGGATTTTAACTAGCGACCACCGGGATACCGGCCCCAGTGCTTTACCAACTGAGCTCCGTGATCCAACTACTGACCAGAATTTTATGTCACTTCAATTCACATGGTATTTGGGCAAAGCTCTTGATGGCTGAAGTGAAATAATGACTTTTGGTCAAAAGTCGAACCTCATAGGTCAGTTGGTAGAACACTGGGGTCGCTGGTTCGAGTCCGGCCGATTTTCATATCAGGAATCGTAAAATAATATCATGTTGTCAACAGTATAGGTTCGCGTAGTAGCAAAATGAAGCATTAAGGATAATTCACAATTAATAAGAAAACAAATAATGAATGTTAAGTGAAAGAAGATGAGGGTAAAAATATTCATGCATAGACATTAAATTTTCAAGTGCCAAGCACAAAAGCAGTGGTTGATGTGTCCCAGTAGCTTAATAGATAAGACTTTAGTGTTTCATATGATGTACAGGAGATTCGAATTTCAATGGGGGAACAATATCACTCAGTAGAGTGCAGTTATATTCAGCTGAAGAGTTTGAAAATAGCATGAAACGCTGGTTTCGCCTAGATTACTCTGTTTGTCATGAAGATTAATTAAATGAGAAATTATAAATTTTTATTTTTCTATTATTTAAAATAGAGTTAACCAAGATACAGAAGCATTGAAACATGAATTTGAGACAAATCAAACCCGTTTACAAGCTTCATTGAGAATAGCTGAACTTCAGGTTAAAAGTCTTGAATCTCAGTTACAACAAAAGGTATGTTTATTCTATATACTTGTATATTCAGGTTAATTTCTGCATTTGCCAATGTGAATCCACTTGTTCACGCGTTCGCCGTGAAACTTGAAGGTCCACGTGGGTGGGTACTGTTGAGAAGTCGCATACTAGGATGAAACAGCTGTCCAGTGCTCCCAGGTTTTCAATGGTTCCTCAACTGATGTCAATCCATGATATATACGACTTCTATATTGTTATTATTATTTGTCCCTTGGGTTCCTAATGGAACATAAGGTTTCAGTAGCACGTGTCGATTTCACTCTGTTCTTTGCAGTCTTTTCAACCTAGCTCCACGACTACGCATAAGCTTTCATTTCTTCCTGACATGATCTCCTCCATGTCACTTTCGCCTCGGCCAGTGAACTCATCGTTTCCCCTTTGAATTCTACTCGAGGACTTGGCCTGGCATATGATGTCTGTACATGGTTTTCTCAGTGTATGCCCAATCCATCTCCATTTTGTTCTTCTGTATATTTGTTAAGCGATAAGTTGTTGGTTGGTTTGGTTGCCAAACAGAGTTCTTCCTTGCTTATTCTTTTTAGACATCTGATCTGATCTTCAGTATTGAGTGTGCTAACGTAGGTGGCAGCTGTTGATATATCTCTGTAGGTTGGAATCTGTTTGTTAGTTGAAGTTATTTTAAGTATTGGGAATCTAAAAGTATGATTTATCAATCATATGAGTGAATATATGTCTGCGGTATCATTGTGACCAATTTTAACTACACATTCCTATCATATCGGAGACCACGATGAGGTGGGTGGGGGGGTAGTCTCATTGACTGATCTGAAGGTTTCGTCTCACTATCTAATTTCCCGTAGGAGGTGTACAGTACATATTCTCAAGTTATCTTACCCCGATGAAAGTGTTCATAATTTCATCTATCGATTTATCTTTCTTGCCTAGGAATAATGAGAAGATAACTATAGTCTAATAAATCTATAACTGTATCATTGTTATTTTCTTTTTATGATAATATCTTACAAGTTTTTATTTATTCACTTTTTGTTTATCATTATAGACTAGAGAAAATGAAGAATTAACAAAGATCTGTGATGAATTATTGAGTAAATATGGTGGATTAACTTGATGCCTATGTAATTAATGTTGACGTATATACAAGAGATAACACAATGTAACCTGTCTATATAATGCCAAAAAAAAAAAGAAGATGAAGCAATGAATAGACGAAAGGATACAATATATGTATGAATGTTTTCTTCTCTTTTCAATAACTTTGTTTTCTCTGTTTTTTTTCTTTTTCTTATTTGTACGTAAACCCATAAACCACCATCTATGTATCTGTATTTGAAGCGTCCTTATTTCATAGACCTTATCCACCATATATATATATATATATATATATATATATATATATACATGTATAATATTACAATGGAATCTCATTAGGTGTTGTTTCTTTTTGGCACTGAACCTTTCGTTTCTCTGTCTGGATAGCCCTATTCAAGTTGTTGATAGTATATAATTGAAGTAAGCCTTTCTATACAAATTTATTCGGTACTGGTTCCTATGTACCTTAGTTTTTCCTGTACTGAGGAAAAACTCTTACAATGATACACACACATGCATATATATACATGGTTATTATTTCCTCTGTTTTACTTTAAGAATTGGAGCAAATTGTCAGAGGAGTACACCTACTGACTGATTCTAATCGAAAACCTACTGACACTATACACTGTTCTGGTTATTATTATTATTATTATTATTACTACACATATTATACGCGAATGAATCCAGTGGAATTAGCGCATATGTTGAAACTTGTGAAATTGTTTTCGTGGCTATGTTATCGTGTAAATGTTTATTGCTGACAGGAAGTGGAAACATAGATTATTTTCAATTAAATTCATCGTATATCAGTACTATTATTATTAATATTGTCATTACTACTACTACTCACACTACTACTACTACCACTACTACTACTAGTACTACTACTACTCACCTTACTTACACTACTACTACTACTACCACTACTACTACTACTACTACTACTACTACTCACACTACTACTACTACTATTACTACTCACACTACTACTACTATTACTACTACTCACGGCACTACTACTCACACTGCTACTACTACTACTATTACTACTCACATTACTCATACTACTACTACTCACACTACCGCTACACTACTACTACTACTCACATTACTCATACTACTAGTAAATACGTAAACTGTTTTTCTGTGCATCTCATATGTTAATAAGCCTTCAGAAAAAAGTATCGGCTTGTAATTCTATGATTCATTGATCTGTTACATCACTATCATTGGAGTATTTTTTGTCAGGATGTTGGATAAACAGATTTTACAATTGGCCGATTATGTAATAGGTTTATTAATTGATATGACTTTTGTGAATTCGATTGCAGAATAACATTATTTGTCGATTTATTGCCCTAATTGTTTTATTATGCTGGTTAATTAAAGTGAACTTGTTCGAATAGTTATTTGATTATAAGGCAGCTCATCGTTGATCGAAAGAGAAGAAGAATTGTTCATTCTAAAATAATTTTTAGTTAGATACTGAAATGGAACGGGTAACAAATGGGGGTGGCGCCGAAGGGAGGGGTGGAGATAGAACTTCCTATGTATATCTAGGATAGGTATAGAATGATTCCTACTGTATGCGTTTGGTGTTGCTTCGACATTCAAACATTCGGAGTTAGGTAGGAGGGAGGGGGTTAAAGTGGGGTTCCATTGTCGCGCCATCTATCTGTTCCTAGATTCAGTTGTTGAATTTGAAGTGTACGTTGAGGGCAAACCTAAGGCAAAGCCCTTCAGAAAACTTAGATGAAATTTAGAGAAATCATTGTTTTATTTGACGATTCGCCATCTTCGAATCGGTATCTTGATAATTTACTCTTCAATGGTGAGAGGAATCAGCTATATTCGGCTTCCGGTTGAGTGGGACTGGTACAGTTTTGAGACAATTCTTATATAATTGAATTGACTAGACACTTCTGCTCAGGATCCAATCTCCTCCAGGATCATGACGGCAAGATCCAACTCAAAAGGAAGGAAGGTCACATTCATACAATGCTACGCACCTAAAAGTAACGCAGATCAAGAGAGAAAAAAGAGGATTTCTACAGACAACTTCAATCAACACTGGACAAGACGTCAGTTGGCGATATCGAAATCCTAATGGGCGACATGAATGCCAAACTGGGAGGGGACAACACAGGAAGAGAAGCAACCATAGGCCGACAAGCACTTGGTGAAATGAACGAGAATGGAGAATTGTTTGCAGAATTCTGTGCATTCAACGATTTGGTGATTGCGGTCAGGCAGTGTGTTTAAGCACAAGGATATCCACAAAGCGACATGGATTCCAGTTCACCAGACACCAGGACACACTACACTAAAAATCAGATCGACTTCATCTCAATGTGAAGAAAGTGGAGAGGCAGTCTACTTGACACAAGGTCAAGAAGTGGAGAAGATGTAGGTTCACACCACTCACTGTCTAGTGCAAGGAACCTGCCTTCGAAATCAAGTTAAAAGCCTTCAAGGAAGCTGATGATAGATCACCACAGTTCAAGTACAACAATCGGAAACTGAAGGATGAAACTACAAAGGAAATCTTCACGGCAGCCATCAAGACAAAATGGGAGATGTCGAGGAACATCCCTGAAGTAACCTGTGTTGAAGAACACTGGAAGTCTTTGAAAGCTATGTGAAAAGAAACCTGCACAGCTGTATTGGAAAGGAAGAAGAAAGAAGATAAGGAATGGATCTCCATGGATACCTGGAAGCTGATAGAGGGGGTAGAGGAAGATGGTGAAGCAGAAGATAAGCCAGTGCATGGATGCACAACGAGAAGAGGAATTGAGTGCAACGTATAAAACACTACACTGGACAAAGAAGTGAAGAAGAGTGGGTGGAAAGATAAAAGACACTTCTACTACACACTGGCAAGTGAAGCAGAACAGGCTGCATGCTGTTAAGAGAGACCTGACAACATTGTATCAAATAACCAGGTTGCTATCAGGGAAGAGATCAACGCAGACGAAACCAATAAAAGATGATGACGGAAATATAATTACGGAAGAAGAGAAACTAAAGGAAACGGCGGGCCGACCACTTCAAAAAGCTCTTGAGTCGACCACCACCTACAGCCGCTGAACTACAAGTGAACATAAGTCCTCCAGCAAAAGCGGAAGTCCTGAGCGCCATAAAGCTACTGAAATGTGGGAAAACAGCAGCACCAGATGGGATCCCACCAGAAGCACTGAAAACAGACACAGAGACAACAGCGGACATGCTCACACCACTATTGCAGAAGGTGTGGAAGGAAGAGAATGTACCTGGCCATTGATTGGAAGAAGGGTTACCTTGTGAAACTGCCGAAGAAGGGAGACCTCAGTGTTTGCAAGAACTGGCGCGGAATCACTCTCCTGTCCATCCAATACAAGCAAAATATTAAGCCGCATCATCCTGGAGAGACTAAAGGATGCTCTGGATTCAAAACTACGACCGGAACATGCTGGCTGGCTGGATTCAGGAAGTACAAATCATGTGCGGACCAAATTGCAACCCTACTCTACACATCATCATAGAACAGAGTATAGAATGACAGTCAACTCGCTCTTTACCTCAACTTCATCGACTTTGAGAAGGCCTTTGACAGTGTCGACCAAGAGGTAATTTGGCGACTGCTCCATCACTACGGTTTTAGTGTCACAAACCTTCATCAATCTCATTCAACAACAATATGAAGACGCCATATGCCGAGTGATTCACAATGGGAAGCTCAGTGATGCCTTTGCAGTGAAATGAAGACAGGAGTAAGACAAGGCTGCCACTACTATCACCCATGATATTCCTGATTGTGGTCGACTGGACTGGATCATGCAGCAGACAACAGTGAGGAGCAGGGAGAAGAGGGGGATACACTGCTGGACCTGAGGAAAAGATCCAAGAAGACTTTGATTTCGCCAACGATGACTTGTGTCTGATGTGACACAAACTTGATGATGTATAGGCGAAAACTAAGAAGTTGTCAGAAGAGGCGAGGCAGCGAAGACTGGACTTCAAGTGAACGTAGCGAAGACAAAAACAACAACAGCAACAACAAGCTCCAAACACCATCGATGGGAGAAACTTAAAGGAAGTAGCCTCTTTCATGTATCTAAGCAACACTGTTTCAACTACAGGTGGAGGCACAGACGAGGATGTTAAAGTCATGATCAGAAAGACAGCAAGACAGGCGTTCATTAACCTGAAACCAGTGTGCAGATCTACTACACTGCACTCAGCATAAAATGTGAACAATATCCGGATTTTCAACACCAATGCCAGTCAAGTCAGTGCTTCTGTATGGCTCAGTGACTTGGCGCGTTATGAAAGGGATTTCCAACAAACTACAGACATTCGTCAACAACTGCTTACTCTGGCTCGTTACTGAAGTTCAGATGGCCATAATGGTAAGAATAAGCAACAAGGAACTCTGGCTGGCTGGCAACGAACCAACGAAGTAAGAACCTATCGCTGAACAAATATGCATTGGAAGGAAGTGTAGATGGATTGGGCATACACTAAGAAGACCGACTGGGGACATCACGCTTTAGGCCAGGCCCTAGAGTGGAACCGAATTGGGAAGCGACGAGTTGGGTGTCCGAGGTGAGGGTGACATGGAGGAGATAATGTGAGGAAGAAATGAGAGCTTGTGGGCAGCCATGAAGGCAGGTTCAGAGGATTGGAGAGAACAGAGTTCACTGGAGGCGTGCTACTGAAGCCTTATGTTCCACTAGGTACCCAAGGGACAAATAATAAAATAAATAATAATTATATCAAGATGGATTTGCAGACATAAGAAATCGGTTAACATGTAATGCTCAATGATAAAGTTGGATGTTAAATGCTTATTTGACTCACCTCTAGAATAATCATAGATGAAGCAATTGAATTTGTCACCTTATTTTATACAGACAGATAAATTTGACTAGATCCAAAATGGAGTAAATTGTATAATGTCACTCATTGCTGTACAATACTTAACTAAAATCCTTCAACCAATGAAGAATCGCATCACTAATTACAGTACTCCTTCGACTTTGTTAACTGCATAACAGATGTCACCGTATGTAGTAGTAGTAAGCGTATATTATATCGTTCGACGTAAGGTCGCCCTTTACAAATATCCTTTTAACAGAAACAATTTGCCCTTGATGTGATAATATATTGTGACGAACAAGCTTGAAATTAGGGTTTACCTCAAATCTACACTTTAGATTCAATAATGAAATTATTCAACAAACGGATCAAGTAACTATGAGTTCACTATTAGGTCCTCTCTTAGCTAATTGGTTCTTGGCCTATCTAGAGAACAGCAAAACTATGTCCATTGATCGACCAATTACTTCATCTAAAAGGAGAAAAGTAACCTTAAAGAAATACTACGAAATGTTTATAAAGGTAATAGATCAACTAAATTTACCATTGAAGCTGAAATGAACTCAGAATTTCACTTTCAGAATGTTCTATTAAGATGAAGACATGATGCTACCTTAAGGAGATTGATTTACAGAAAAAAGGAACCTAGAATAGACAGTATACTCATTTTGAAAGCTGAGTTCTACTAGTCACTATTCACACAAATTAGAATTTGTACAGCAGTCGAAGACTTCATTAATATTATTATTATTAGTCCCTTGGGTTCCTAGTGGAACATACCCCTTCAGTAGCACGTCTCCAGTGACCTCTGTTCTCTGAGATCTTTTCAACCTGGTTCCACGACAGCCCACAACCTCTCATTTCCTCGCACGATCTCCTCCATGTCACCCTCGACACCGACGTCCAACTCGTCGCTTCCCATGGGGATTCCACTCGAGCAACTGGCCTGACGCGTGATGTCCTCAATCGGCCTTCTCAGTGCATGTCCAATCCATCTACACTTCCTTCCAGTGCATATTTGTTCAGCGATGGGTTCTTACTTCGTTGGTTCGTTCTCAGAGCTCCTTGTTGCTTATTCTTTCTGGCCATCTGAACTTCAGTAACGAGTCAGAGTAAGCAGTTGTTGATGAATGTCTGTAGTTTATTGGAAATCCCTTTCGTGACGCGCCAAGTCTCTTAGCCATGCAGAAGCACTGACTTGACTGGGTTGGTGTTGAAAATCCGGATCTTGTTCCACATGCTGAGTGTAGTGCAGAAGATCTCCACACTGGTTTCAGGCCAATGAATGCCTGTCTTGCTTTTCCGATTCTGACTTTGACATCCTCGTCTCTGCCTGTGTCGCCTGTAGTTGAAACAGTGCTTCCTAGATAGGTGAAGGAGGTTACTTCCTTTAAGTTTCTCGCGTTGACGGTGATTGGAGTTTGTTGATGTTGGTGGTGGTGGTGAGGTATCTTCATCACCTCTGTCTTCTCTATATTCACCTGAAGTCCCATCTTCGCTGCCTCTTCTACCAACTTGT